GGCTTCAGCCCCACCTAGCCCTATGGTTAAAACGGCCCTGGTGGTGAGTGCCATTTTCTTTTGCAAATATTGTTTTCTCCTGTTTTTAATTAGATAGGGAGTTAGGGTAACATATTGCATTTTTCTTTTGTTTTTCTTTTGTTAGGGAATTTAGTCTTTTCTGTGAGGAGCTAGCTGGGTGTTTGTTTGTTATTTTGGCCTTTGCTCACCCCTGAAGTTGTGCTTTCGCTCGTGGTTCTGTAAATGCATGTATAAAGGATCTTTGATTGTTGATTTCAGTTTATATTGCGGCCTTACCCTAGACAAGATCGTAACACCTTTCTCAATCCACTGATATTCTTATTTTTACTGTGTCAACATACATTAATGTCAAAGTCATCAGCTTTTAGATCTGCGATGGGAGACCAGCTGTAGTCCTCTACCCTTTTCCTCCATTTATACTGCAGTTCTTCCTAAAGGTTTTGGAAGAGAAAAATCTGTGAAATATTACACTAAATGGAAAGGTGTGTGTGTGTGTGTGGCTTTTTAAAAATCTTATCATGCAGTGTATTAATCAATCAACATATGAATCTAGTAAGACAGATTTATAGATGTTTAGATATTTATAAATATTCACCAAAATAAGCATGTTCTTACATTAACATTTCTGCCAAGCAAATAAATGCCACTTGTTTATATACAGTGAGTATTTGTATGATACATATCAATAATTGTTTTGTTTTTTGTGTGTGTAAACAAGAGTGTTTTAGGGCCTTGTAAAAGTGTGTTCTTGAGAAATTCATAATCATGACATGACAAGTCATTACCATAAATGTCTCCGCTAAGAGAGAGAGGGAATGAGTACCTGAAACACTTTTCTCTTAAATGCTTCTTCAGGCTGGTCTTTCTGTTTGTCCTTCAGTTTCTCCTAAATGATCCAAAAGAGTAACTAATCATACATACTAAGTGTTCCTGTGGCTCAGTGGTAGAGCATTGCGTTAGCAGTGCAAAAGGTTGTGGGTTCAATTCCAAGGAAGCATACATACATATAAAATATGTATAGCCTGGATGCACTGTAAATCGATTTGGATAAAAGCGTCTGCATAAATTATTATAAATTAAATGATTATTATAAATTATAAATTACATACAAATGTGTCGCTAAAAACAAATAAATAAATGAAGCGGGGAAATAACATTTAATGCTTTTTATCTTCAATTATACATCATGTTACTGTTACTACAAACTGCCAAAATATGTATCTGATGAGGCTGTAAATACCAATGTGTGGATACATATTGGTTAACATTCACACAAACTAAATTTGTTATATTGGACTGTTTAACTATTAACAGAAATTGAGGTACCTTTAATTTATCTTCATTGAGTGTGGCCTCTCCAACAAACTTTGGCAGACGTCTGTCTGGCTGGTTTGAGATTTGATCAAAAATGTGATCTTTTAAAAGAGAAGGGAAAAGGAAGGGGTCAGAATATTAGTATAACATACAAAGCGCATTTATGCATATGAACTAGTGCTGTCAAACGATTAATCGCGATTAATCACATCCAA